GCTGGGGGCACCTGGCTCTGTGGCACACGGATGATTTTCTAGGAGAAGGACTATTACTGTGGGGGCCATGGGGCTAAGCAAGAGGCTCTGAGCATCCCCTGGGCACCCACCCTGCAGTCACAGGGGACACAAAGGACCCTGCAGGCAGGTGCATTTCCTTGCAGTGCAGAATGTTCCATGTTTTCCTCAGAGCTGGCCTGGCCATGCTGGGTGACGGTGCTCCTGTTCCCATGCCAAACAGCCAAGAGCCCTAGATCCCTGTTGCAAAGATTTCCCTTTTTTAACGATTTTAAATATAGTAAAAAAAACAGTTTAATTTTAATAATAGATGATTATTGTTCATAAGACAAAAATGTGTCACTCTTAATTATTTTTGCAGAAAGTTCCTTACCCAACATGTGTTTTTCAAACAGGAAGGTACTACCAGGGTATTCCTCTTGTTTTCCTGGCTGCAGATGCACGGTGAATCCTAATTAAAACCTTTAAGTCTTATTCCATTTACAAGAAGGAGTGTATAATTTTTCTTTTAGCTTTTTTTAATACCAGGTCTCAATGCCCATTACAAAAATTCCAATGCATCTTTGAAGTTAGCAGCTAATTATATTTCTCCAAGTTATATATCTGGAGTTCTAGATGGGGAAAAGGCAATTACTTTTTTTCTCATTTAGCATAACAATCTCCGAAGCTTTATTGGAGCTCCAGTGAGTCATGCTATAGATCAGAGCCTGGGCTGGAAAGAGGAGGAATTTGGGGGGAAGGCAGGATGCTTGCTCAGCTCTTCCTGGCTCCCTCCCTTGTTAGTGTGCTGCCTCCACCAGGACACTCGCTAATTGTTTGTCGAATGACCGCGGTGCTTTTTGCCTCGACAACTTTTCCGGGGAGGTCACTCAGCACATTCATTACGGGGCACCTGCTCGCGCTGCTGGAGCGAAGGGTCTGTCAGCGTTTTCCAGGAGTTTATAACTTGGCTGTAAATGTTTGTGTGAAGCTGAAAATCGTTGCTTGATTTCTCCCAGGCAGAAACCGGCTGGTTCAGCCCGTTTGTTCCCGTGTCACTGTGCCCAGGTGCTGTTGGCAGCCCTGGTGTGGGGCCCCCTGTCCTGGTGCCCATCGGGCTGTGGGGATGCTGGGCTGGTGCTGGGCTGGGCACTGCTCCGTGCTCTGCAAGGACAAACTGACCCTCTGGCTCCGTGCAGCTGGGCAGGGCAGGGAGGACGGCTGCTGGAGTCTGCTGCTGCTGGGGTGCAGGGCTGTGGCACCCCCTGGGCGGGTGGCAGTGGTGCTGGGCAGCCTGGGCAGCTGCTGGGCTGCTGCCATGGGAGCCTTGACCTTTGTTAGCTGAATTGCTGCAAACTTCAGTTTAACAGTCCTCAGCTACCTTTTTTTGAAAGATCTATTATGCTTGGAGCATCTTGCCTCTTCTTCTTTCTCAAAACTGAACTTTAAAATGCTTCCAGAAATAGGTCTGGAATTTGTGCATCAGCCCAGAGATGTGCATTTGGCCAAGCTGTGGTACCCCAAAGGTCCCTGCATGACGAGGAGTTTTGTAGATTTCCTGCTCACCACGGCTGCACTTGTGATGATGAAAAGGGAATAACCAAACCAACCAAACAAACAATCCCCCCCAAAACAAGTAAACAAAAACCTGCCAGAAAATAAATTCCCTTGCACGTGCTGGACCAGGGGGAGAAAACAAAGCCAGTTCCCAGCTTGTTTCCAGCTCAGCCCCATATTTCTGGCCCAGGATGGGTAACTCCACACTGACCTGCATCAGCAGACAGCACACTCTCCCTGGCAGCTGATTTATTCCCTCTGCTTCTGGGATTGTTTTGTAGTGGGGGCTAACCCAGACCACTGACTGTTTTTCCAGACCTATCCGTGACACTGACACCAGGGATGAGTTCTCAGAAATGTTTTTGGAAGCAGAAGGATGGAAAGGGACTCAAATAGAAGGAGCCCAGAATTGGTTCAGGCAGCTCTGTTGGCTTTGATTTCCCACAAACTCTCACCTTTTTTACAAACTGGAGAAATGCTGGTGGTCTTGGGACCTGGACACTGGTTTTCCCTGCCTTGGGGCACAGGGCCCACAGCTCCTGTCACTGCCCTGGTGGGACCCGTGGTGCTGGAGCCCCTCTAAGCTGTGGTGGGTGCAGGGTCTCCCTGCCCTCGGCTCTTTTGGGCTGGAAGCACTCCCGGAGCCCGGCTCTCACACGGCTCTGTGCTCAGCCCAGCTGCAGCTGTGACAGGTAAATGTTCCCCTCTGACACCCCGAGCCAGAGCTGTCTCTAGTGATAACCCAGCCCTGCTCTGAACAGTGGGAACGGGGCAGCCCCTTTCCTGTGCCCCAGGGCACACCCACTGCCCCAGCCCGGGGCGATGGAGCGGCCACTGGGTCGGAGCTGTCGGAGCACGCAGGGCCACGGCACGGAGACACTCTGCTGCTGGGGAACCTGTGAGAAATTAAATTCTCCACTTGGCTGGTCTGGGTGACTTGGCTTTGCTCTGCCGACTTGTTCCTTCATTATTTTTTTGGCCGATAACTGACTGCAAGCTTGTCTTGTCTGTTTAATACCAGCACAGCGGCTCCAGGAGAGGCTCAGCCTTGTCAGTCTCGGCGAGCACGCACTGTATTGCTCTCCCCACTTCATTTACTTCATGGACAGGAGGGGAAAGGCCTCGAGGTGCTGCCGAGCCTGGCAGCTGGGATGGAGGGTTTCTCTGCAGGCTGGGCTGCCCAGAGCGGGGCAGGTGGGGGCACAGGGAGACCTGCACATGTCCAGGGGAGCTTGAATGGGGCCAGGCGAGCTGAGGACAGTCATTATTAAGATTAATCTCTCCCTCACACCTTGGAACACGCCTAAATCTCCAGGCAGCCTTGCAGCCAGGTTTGAGATGGACTTGGCTGTTCTTGCTCTCTGAGCGCCAGGCGTGGCAGCACCTGTGGCTGCACTGGGATGTGGATGCAGGTCTGATGTTTCCTCTCTGGACAGAAGAGATGCCGTTTCTGAAGCACCATCTCCCCCTGTGTGTACTGTTCTATGCAGACTAACACGTTTTGGGTAGCACGAGGGTCCAGAAGCCAATCTGCCACAAGGCTGAAGCCACACACCCAGGCAGACCCGGTTGCATCTGTCCCTTGTGTTTTTGCAGCAGAGATGGAAGGGGGGTCAGTTCAGTCCCCTGAACTGGAGGTCTTTGCCCGGAGGACAGGCTGCCTGCACTTGGCTGCAGTGCCAGGGCAGTTGGGTCCTCGGAGTAGGGCTTTGCAAACACAGTCGGTTTTTGTTTAATTAAGAGCAAGCAGAGAATTTAAAGACTCAGTTTTCTCCATCCTGTGATAAATTAACTTCCTTCTTGCTCAGGAGGACAGGAACACTCCAGATCAATGATCTTACTGATGCCTGGCCTCTCCTCCTTTGGAGGGAGAAAGGGACAGAGAGCGTCAGCCCCTGCCCCTGCCTCTGCCTTTGGGGCAGCAACTGCGGGTAATGATGATGAATGGCATGATTAATGCTGCAACTCAGACCTACAGCTGGAATTTTAGACCCTATGCACAGAATAATCCAGCTCCTGCTGTGCTATTTGGGGGCACTTAGAGTGCAGCTGAAGGCAGTGGGGTGCTCCATGTGAACCCCCCAGCAGATGTACACCCCTGGCTCCTGCTGCGTTCAAGGGATCAGAGGGCTCCTGTTCGTGTCCAGATGCCACCAGTGTGGCTGTGGCTGTGTTGAGGGATGCCAGTGTCCTGTGACAGCCACCAGAGGAGATGTGGACACCCAAGGGTACGATGTCCCAGACCAGAGACCGCTGGATGGTACCTTTTGTCCCTCTGGGTCCTGGGCAGAAAATAAGTTCCCATTTTTTAAATTTCTTGTGCATCTAATAGAAACTGGTAGATTTATACATTTCTCAGAAATCACTAGATAGACACAACACCTTCAGCTCTGCCTGAGCAATGCTGGGCCTTGGCTGCAGCGTTCAGTTTTCTAAACTCCTTCTTTAAATGTATTTTTATACAGCAGTGTTGACCTTTTCTGCCAGCCCCTGTGGAGCGAGGTTGTATCTTGTGTAAAAGTCATATCAAATGGGCCACAAAAAATCACTCTTGCCTGATTAAAATGAATAGTCTAGACGACGTGTGCATTTTCCTTCTGTGTCGTTAGCTTTGTGTGAGAGCTTGCAGCAATCAGGGCATTTATGGGAGAAACGCAGCTACAGGTACCTCAAGCTGCCTGAGCGGATACTAATTACAATCCCTGTAAGGATTGATTTGCAAAGAAAATTTCTATTGCCTCAAGGACAAACGTTTGTGCAAATCATATTATTGTGTATGAGAAATTGGTAACACTTTATGAAATGGTTCTTTTATAAATACTTTACTATTTATTAAATTAAATGGTTTTATAACAATCCTTTTGCTAAGTTAAAATATCGTAAGTGTTCTGGTTTTGCATTATTTCTGTGCTACAGAGCCTGCTGTCAGGGCTCGGTTGGCGTCACCTGCTCAGACTGTTGTTGGTCATTTCCAAACCCACAGGCCAGTTTGGGTACTGTTCCTGTGGTCAAGCCAACTGTATCCCAAGGTACAGGAACTGCACTTTGCTCCTGGTTTAGATCTTCAAGCTGCTTTCCCATTTTCCTACGAGAGAACTGTTTGCAATCCCATGGTGGCTGGTGCTGTGTCCAGGCTCACCACTGTCCACCTGACCATGCTTCCAACACGGAAATTGGCCAGTTGTTCCATTCCTATTATTCATTTTACCTGGAGGAATTAGAAAAGGAAAAATCATTGCCTTGCATGCAGCTGGGGAGATGGATAGGAGCAGTGGTCACACCTGTCAGTCATCAAATACTGTTGGTCCTGCACGTTACTGGTGCTGTGCGAGCGCCCCAAGGCTGACCAGCTTCATTCCTGCTTGGAGAATCTGACCTTGCCTTCCAAAATTCCTGTCTGCTCTGGAAAACAAGCAGACAAGACATCTTTACTGAGCTAGAAATTTCTCTTGAATGTCCCCTCTCTAATTTACGTTCCCTCTCACTTCATTGCCTGCAGCAGAGCCCATTAATGGTGGCAGTTTGTGACACAACTGAAGGCTCCTCCAACAGGCGATCCCACCGCGCTGACTTGGGCGGCATTTGCTGACATGGTGGGGCTCAGCTTCTCCCACTCTGCTTCCCAGGCTCCAGAGACTAATCCTCCCTTTGGCTGGCTCTGCTGCTGCTATGGCAATATTTTCTCCCCCATCGTGGTAATCACGCAATGGTCTCTGAGAACAGCAGGAGAAGCAGTGCCTGGTAGATGCATAAAAGGTAAGATGAACTACATGTCATAAAACTTTTAAAAGTTCCTTTTTTGTGTTTGTGCGGGGGTTATTTTATATGGCTTTTGATATGAAGCTAAAATTGCACATCAAAAAGGATAATGCATCTTTAAGCTGTTACAATGACTTCTAAATTTTTCATTTAATGTCAGTGAGGAAAAAACCCCTCAGCTGGCTGAGTTACGTTGGTGAGATGGCTGTTTCATTCCATAAAGTGTCTGCAGTGGATTTGAACAGTAGGAAATCCAAGGGTGATAAATAGCTATTTCTAAGTAAATTTCATGCAATTGCCCTTTGGTTAAAGTCTTTCCTCTCAGCACTTTCCTGTGCACATAGCCCAACTAATAATATTCAGGAGCAAGTGCTTTCCAGTGTGACAACTGATTGCACTTTGAAGCAGTAAATGGCTGATTTCATAATTGGTATAATTTTTCACAAGTACCTGAATGTCATATACAGAAAGAATAAGCAACCTGGACTTAATACAGGAGCTTTTTCAATTCTCCTAAAAATCAATAATGTATTAAACCCCTCTAACTGATTAAAATAATGTGAACCCTGAGTAGGTTTTGTGAGGAAGGCAGGTTTCTTCAAGGGTGGCAGATTTATGGCAAAAGGGTTAATACATGGGGAGAACAGGGATACGTTACAGATGGAGTCCGTTTTCCTAATTAAACTTTTATCAAGATTTTCCCAGTTTGAATTGTTTCATTTAGCACGATGGGAAGGAGCATTTCCTTCAGTGTTCAGGGCAGCTCCTGCCGCGTGTGTGATGCCAAGAGCTCTGTCCTCGCAGAAAGTGTGGGGATTATGAGGAGAAAAAACAGGGAATCCTTTCCAAAAACATCATGTTGGCTCTGGAGGGTCCTGCTGCCCTGTGGCAGGAGAGGGTGCAGGGCAGGTTTTTGGGACCTGAGCCGAGGGTTCAGGATGGGTCCAGCCAGGGGAGGAGGCTGCTGTGGGGGCTATCCCAGGGCACAGGGGGCACCTGCATGCCCAGGGGCCTCTTTGTGTGGAAAAGTTCAAGCAGCGTCGCAGAGAAGTGAATGTGACTGGCAGGGCTACAGAAGACAGAGCTCTCACTGGGAGGGAAGCAGGATGTTGGGTTTTTTTTCCCAGGATCTGAAGATTTCTTGAAATCCTTTCAGACTATCATAGAAAAATGTCTGAAGGTCTGTTGAGAAAATTATTTGTAAAGCTAAAGCAAAGATGCAGCCTGATGGCAGGGACGTGTGGGTGGCAGAGGCACAAGCAGGGAGGAGGGTGTGGAGGGCAGGTGAGGGGAGTGGGCTCCTGGCACCCACGTGGCAGTGCCAGGGGTGCAGCAGCACCCACCTCCCCTCGCTGGCAGCACTGTGTGTGGCCACTGTCTTGGGGGTTGGAGCAGTGGGATGTGCATGAATGCCTCGAGGGGAGATTAAGAAACGAGATCTCTGCTGTTAAAGCCTCGGCAAGCTGCTGATGTTGATTCCCAATGCCGTGGGCATCTGCCCGCCCTGGCAAGGTGGCACCATGTCACCTCTGCGTGGGGAAGCCACGTCCCTGCTTGCCCCCACACTTTGGGTGGGAACACACGTCCCTGCCAGATCTGACCCTGCGTTTCCCTGAGGAAGGGCACGTTCCTTCTCAGGGGGGTCACAGGTAGGTGGATTGAGGAATCTATTTAAACTTCTTTCCTCAAGATCATGATCAGACATCTTAAGCTATGCATTACTCACATTTGTCTGTTGTTTCTAACTCATTTCCTATTTTCCAGCTGAGGGACTCTGCCAGAAGCACTCTTTGCCAGAGATTAAAACAATTTAGGAAGCAGACACCCAATTCCTTTCTTTGGATAGTAGGCAAATTGGATATCTGTGAGAAGCAAGCAAATTTTATTATCAACAGATAGTTTGCTACTTAACTATCCTTAAGAATCCCCCAGCATTTACAGGCGCTTGTTGTCCTGAGCCAAAAGGCACGTGTGGCACGTGCCCTGTGAGGTGCCCGGCCACTGCCATGCTCAGCCCGTGCCCAATGCCTGGTGCTCCTGTGGGATGCTGGCAGCCCGGGAGGGCAGTGTGGGGAGCAGGTATTTAATGGCAGCAAAGGTGCTGGAAAACAAATGTACCTGGTGCAGGAGGAAGAGCCCAAGGTGCTCCCTGGGATCTGGAGCTGACCCAGTGAGCTCCCCAGGAGCTGTGGCTCTGTGGGCTGTGCTCTGCCTGTCTCTTAGGTGTGTACTGAGGCCAAGGGACACAGGAAATCACATTAACTGTGGCTCTCATTGGTTTGTATCAAAATAGCTGTTTTAAATATAATTATCACTAATTTGGCAAAGTGCGCCATTAGATATGTAAATTTTTTGGCTAATGGTGTGCATGGCAGGTCACAGTGGATGGGATGATGTGGGATAACCAAATCAGAACCATTTCTCAGCTTTCTAAGCAGGTTTTCAGGGGTGGGTTTTAGCATTTGGAGGTCTCCCAGGTGCCTTCCCCATAGGCCACCTGGGACCTGGAGCTTCCTCACAAGGAAGGTGCACATCCTGCATTTCCCAGGGTGTTGGGTGGTGCAGGAAGTTCTGCAGCAGTCCAGGAACACAAAGGGGATGGTTCTTAAAATTATACAAGGATAAAAAAAAAAAAAAATCATAGAATCATTCATCAGGATTGCTGTAGTTCTTGACCACATAGTCAATGATTTATTTAATCTTAATATATTCCACAAAGAGTCCCCATATTTCCATAAATATGTCATATCTACCTAATACATAGTAATGAACCTGCTCCAAGGGTAAATAAATAAGATCTAAGCTCAGCAAGCCAATGTTTATCAAAGGGAGATATACAGATATTGAGTCCTTTAAAGTACCATTCTTCACAGCAATCACAACCAAGTTTGGCAATTTATAACGTGTCAAGTCAATTAGAAATCCCGGGGGGCTCAGAGCGAGCCCCGGCGTGGGGGGCCAGACGAGGCAGGTCCAGCCGTGCATACACGAGTGGGTGTGGGCACAGTGGGCACAGTGGGCACAGTGGGCACAGTGGGCACAGTGGGCACAGCCAGGGCACAGCCAGGGCAGTGCAGCCCATCAGACCCCGCGGGAGGGAGAGCCCCACTGGCACTGCCCCTGCACTGGCACTGCCCCTCCGCCGGCGCCGCCGAGCTGTCAGCAGCTGTACAACAGTGATCCACACAGTCATGGAATCACTGAGGCTGGAAAAACCCTCTGAGGTCATCGAGTCCAACCGTTCCCCAAGCGGTGCCAAGAATTTGCTAATCTTTGTTTTGAGAATTGTCTGTTATGAAAAACTGATCTAGTTTTAAACAGAAAATTTGATTTGGACTATTTTAATTTATCTTATTCTGTTGTTGTTCTGTGGAATTACATATATCAGTGTATTATGTTATGTAATATGCTAACGTAAATATTTTCATACAAATACATCGAAATTAACTAAAAATACGATTGCAAAGGGAAATAACTAATTTTTTTATAGATTGCACCTTCCTAATCTTATTTTCTACAACAAAATATTTCATGTCTTTTTTGTAATTAGTTTGACAAAGTCAATAATAATAGAATATTCTGATTATGTCAATATGACATATAATATTATGCACTTCTCTACTATTGTGCATATTATGACATGATTTGACATGATCTGATGGGTCACATTATGCACTACTACCGATGTTATAAAATAATGTAAAAGTAATGAAAACAATTTTTGAAATGAAAGTTTTTAGAAGGAATTCATGACTTTTCCTGAGAGAAATTTCCAAGCAAATATTTTTCCTTTCCATTTTAAAAAAGTTTTTTTCATTAGGTTACTCTACTTTTCCCCCGAGTAAAACCTTTCATTCCTCATCCTCAGCTTTGCTGTCTGCTTGTTGCTTTGTTCACCCACAGCAGGTGGGTTTGGTGTTTTAAAGCTTTCCAGGAGGAGCGTGTGGGGAGCACAGAGACCTGGAGCGTGGGGATGTGTCCCAGCACAGGAGGTGACGTGGGTGACAGTGACACTGGCTGACACCAGGCTGGCACGTGCTTCACTTGTGAGCTCCCGTGTGAAGTACACAGCATGCTGACCCTGATTTGTATTCATTTTTACAGGGATGCAACGATAATTCCCACAGAAACACAAAACAGTTTGGAAAACACTTATAGCACATTGCTGGTGAGCTGGGTGCTTGTGAGCCTGAGCTTGCCCAGTGCACGTGGCTGATGTGACTGCAAAGGTGCAGATTTCCTGTGCAAATCATTGAGTAAACGTGGCACTGCTGGCAGGCAGGTGGGAATTTTGGTGGCCTGGAGACTAAAGCAGGAATCCAACATGGGCACCAGGGACTGCAGGCTATGCTCTGTGTTCTCCTGGCTGTGAGGCAGTCGGTAACACAGAGGCTGGGATTCGGATTCATTTTTAATGAAACACTTTTTGCAACAATCCTACAGCAGCCCCAAATGGTGGCAGACAAGAGGACGCCAGGTGGAAGAACTGCTGCTGCCTCAGCAGCTCCCTGAGCCCCTCTGTGAGGGAAACCCCCATGCCAGCCGTGGGGAGCAGTGGGACAGGGTGGTGGGGAGGGACACTGGGCAGGCACGAGGACTGACAGAGGGTAGTGGCCGTGGAAAAGCAGTGTCAGTGCTGGCAGGTGGGGTGAGGATGAGGCTGATGAAGGGGGAAGGTGAGTGTGGGTGCGTTGGGGACCCCTTGACACGTGCTGCAGGGCAGGGCAGGGCAGGGCAGGGCAGGGCTGCCTGGTCTCTCACCCTCTGCCCACTGGGGTCCCGCACCCAGGCTGATGCCTGCGGGGTCAGGCAGAGGCTGAGGGGTGCTGGTGGCACTCTGCCTTAAAAAAGGGGCATCCCTGCCCCAGGTTTGGCTGCCAACCTCCAGGGCAGCCATGCAGGACCTGCTGGTGGGTGTCAGCCCTGTGGGATGGCCCATCTGGCCACAGTAGGATCATTGGGGGACCCAGTGTCCCCTCCCTGGTCCGACGTGCCTTGCTGGGGGCTCTGCGTGGAATGGGCAATGCTGCTGACAACTTCCCAGGCACAAGAGACCCTGGTGATACAAGAAAGGTCATCCAGGGACCTCAACGGTGTCATCCTCAAATGGAAATGTCATTTTTTATTTTTCAGAGCTGATAGAACGCTCAGAATGAAGGCAGCTGATGGCAGGGGGACCTTCAGCTTGTCCAGCCCGGCCCCAGCTCCCAGCCCTCTGCTGCACGTGGTGGGCTCAGAGCCCTCAGAGCCACATCCTGCCTGGCCCCCTGCCCATGCCAGCCTCGGGCCCTGCTCTGGCCATGGCACTGCAGCCTCAGAACGGAAGTTCCTGGTGTTCCCGACCGGTGCTGGAATGCTGCTTCCACCTCCAGGAATGCAAATGAACGGGGTTTGATCCAAATTGCATTTCCTCTCCTAGTCTGGAGTATGACGGCACATTAAAACCTGTAATATTCCACTGCTGGTCTTTTGCATGATTTTTTAATTAAAAAACTATGGAGTAAACAAACATTCTGCTCTGGAGTAGCCCTGCAGAGACCCATCCAGAGGCACATTCACAGCCCTCCACTTTTTCAACAAAGTTTATATCTTAACAAAAAAAAAATAATAATAATATCACCCACCCTAACAGTTAGTATTGGGTAAAAGTTTGAAGTGAAAGGCAGCTGGCAACCTTCTCCAGCCCGTGAAATGATATTAACATTTTATTATTCTAAGGTGAGCTTTTTGAAACGGAATTTTAAATGTTACCCTGCTGTTCCAGAACACAAAAACCTTTAATTTTATGCAAATGAACAGCGAGGAGCTGAGCGCTTAATGTAAACGAACACTTTCTTTGTAGGAGAGGTTGGAAGGGAAAAAAAAAATTCCCAGGGATTCTTTAATTGCTGTCTGAAATTATGTAAATCCCAGTGCTAGGCAGAACGCAATTATCCCGTGCCCCTCTCTGCCAGCATTGCTAATGTCTAACAAAATATCGGTGGGTGACATTTAGTCGAGGTAATGCAAATGAGAATTAATTTTTTTCCAAGACAAAGGGCAGCTAAAAGATCACCTCGTTCCTGCACGGAGGGGGCAGAGCAGGGGGCGAGGGCAGCGGGAACTGGGGCGCGGTGCTGGGGGGCAGGGGGCCCAGCCCAGAGCCCATCGGCGCTGCTTTATCTTTTATTTCTCAGAGGGATGAAGCCTGGGGAAGGGGGGGCAGGTTGTTTGTTTGTTTTTCTCTTTAATTCGTGGTCATCCCGGCCCGGGGGCGGGGTGGGAACCGTGATTGAAACCCTCTAATGGCTCTGGCTGGTGGTGGGCAAAGGCAGCGGTGATTTATCACCTTCCCATGCTGATAACTAGCAATAATTCTATTAAATATTCAGAGTGAGGCTTTTGCAACACAATTATCTAACGGGGTTTGTTAGTGCAGAAATGCTCCTTGAGCACAAGAAAGGGGCTGCTGGTGTGGGTAAGGGGCTGCTCTGCAAAGGGCACAAACTGCCCCCATGTCACCCAAGGCTGGAGGACAGCTCAGCCCACTTGGAGGTGGGGGCAACCCACATTTCTGCAGGATAAATCAGGGAAGTTGTGTAGGGATATTCCTTCTTTTCTCTTTTTATTTTCCTTTTGGTTCTTGCATTTCAGAGCTCCCTTTGCTTCAAAGGCCATAAGAGCCTGTGACTCTGCCGACCTTTTAAAGGGAAAAGGAACCCCGGTGGGAGCTGGCATGAGGCAGGGCAGGGCAGTGTGGGGAGGGATGAAGTGCATGGATGCTCAGAAGGCTCCGGGTAAGGGTAAGAAGTGCTCGAGGAATTACCCTTTGAAATGTACACTTTGCAGGGAGGCCCCGGGGATCATCCTGCTGAGGAGCCAGGCTGAGTTGCACCATCTGCTTGGGATTTAGGACAGGCAGGGCTCTGAAATATGAATTAAAAATACAGAGTAACAGGAAATAATTTCCTCTTGCCCTATCTTTTGGAAATTGTACCAAGCAAAGCTGGATGGCCTCATGCTGTGGCATTCCCTGTGACAGGGATGGGTCACTGGGACCCAGCTTGGACCCCAGACCTGCACCACAGCCTTTGCCACCCGGCACCAGCCCCACCTGAGCATGGCTGCTCTGGCAAAGCTCAGGCACATCCCTAGTTTTTGTATTCAGTTCTTGCTGCATCAGCTCCCCACAGTCTTGCTACAGCAGCAGGTGAAGGGCCAGTGCCCACATGGAACCCTGGACCCACGGGCTTTCCTGGGCAGCATCACCAGCTGCCTGCTACTCACTCCATAGTCCTGGTTATGAGTGTAGCAGTTCCAGGGCCAAAAGAGGAATGGATAATATATCATGTTTCTCATTGCATTCCCTGCCTCTGAGTGGCTGAAGCCAGTACCCTGAGAAATGCATCCACTGACATCACACTGTGGCCACCAGCCTGCCCAGCCCCTCCCACCCATGCTGGGCACCCACAGGGGCTGCACACAGTCCTGCCACACGGGTACCCGCCGGGGGAGGAAGGTGAGGTGGTGCAACTGCAGGCAGGAGGTGTCTGTGTCTGCAGGACCCTGCTGCCATCCACACAGAGGCTATCCTTGTCCTCTGAAAATTTATAATCTTTATAATCCAAGATTTAGACTCTTCAAAGCTTTATGCCTGTCTTTAACCTGTAGCACATGTATAGTCTCAGTGGGATTTCTCATCTGCTAAGAGTTAAGCACGTACATAAATCTCTGCAGGCTGGGGCCCAAGGCATTCCCACGCACACATGCACACGCATTCCTGCGCTCACGCGTAATGGAACAGCCCCCTGCAACCAGAGTGTGTGTCAGTGCAGGGCCACGCCGAGCCCCTGACTTGTGCCAACCTCCTGAGCATTATTCGAGCAGTTTGGATGCCATCGGGGTGTTGAACTTCTGACACCACCTTTGGCAAATCCCCTCTCTGAGCCAACATCTCCGGGAAGCAGGAGGGGGACGACAGCGCGGCGACTGTGCCGGAGGTGAGCCGGGAGCAGCCGTGCACAGCCACAGACAGCATTGGGGTCAGAGTGGGAACAGGAGGAGCTCAGGAAAGCACTGATGTGCCACTTACTTGGCATGGAAAGGGAAGCATGCTGAAGGTTCTCTGTGCAGCAAGGGTCTCCCTTGCCTCCCTCCCCACGGGCTGCTTGCTCTCAGATGTTCCATCGGGCAGTGTGAGAGGACCTGTGGCAGCGTGTGCAGATGCTTCACTCCAGCCCAGCTCATCTAGTGCAGCCTCCTGTGCTCAAACACTCTCAAGTAGATTTGTCACCAGGTACCAATGCACCACATTCGTTTTCACTGATAAAAGCTGGTCCAATGTGACCCGGAGTTAAACTGATGTAAGAAACCACCAGATTTTTTGCAGACTGGTAGAACTGGTAAAATGCTGTGCCAGCTGCAGTATGTCCTGACAGCAGATGGTGCTTGTAGGGTGATTGTATGTAGCAGCACGGTATTTGCAGGGCTCTGGGCTATGAGATTCACTGTACGAATCTCCAAGCTTTCATTTCAATGTTGCAATCTCTGCCACCAAATGACAAAAAAAGGGGGAGTGCGCTTTGCATTTAAAATCCTCCCTGTGAAGGCCTTTTCTTCCCCTCACGTAACGTTGTTTTGAGATGTGACCTTCCACTAAACTCTTTCCACTTCATATCCGGTGTTTGCAATGGGAACACATAAGGCCTCTTTAATTTGGGGTTAGAAATCCAGGCAAAGCCATCAGGTGAGAAGCAGCATTTCATAAATGTCTTGTGTTCTGCAGCGTTCACTTTTTTAAGGGCAAAATTGCATTCATTTCCCTAAAGCATCACCTGCCCAGCCAGGCAGCCGTGGCCGTCAGCAGCGCAGGCACCGCGGCTCGGCCGCGCCCGCAGAGCTCGGGTCAGCTGCTATTTGTCAAAGCAGCCGCGGCCGCGGCCCCAGGCAAAGCGCTGAGCACAGCACGGCACCCTCTGAACTGACCCGGGCACTTAGCCTTTCTGAGAAATATTTATGGAAAGGTCAGCAAATGCTTTGTGACAGGACTCTGGCACATCCCTAACCCGCTTCTCTCCCACTCCCTGTCTCGCCCACGTGCCAGGCGCGGAGCAAACCAGGACCGCAGCTCCCTCCTGCCGACGTTTCTCCTTCCCGTGGCACGAACGCCACTGCGAGCCCCCGCGCTGGGGAACGTTTCTGCCTGTGCCCCGTCCCTTTCCAGAGGATGCTCCTGCATCAGCCCAATGATTTCCCTTGTGCACCCACGCCATCACGGCTGTGCTGCAGGAAGCAAAGCCCTCCTCCCTGTGCCCTGCCTGGCCTGGCCACAGCCTCTGCTGCCCCAGTCCCCATCTCTGTGCCACCACCTCTCCTTGGAGTTGGGGTTTGGGAGCCATGGTTGGACAGGAGTGAGAAGGACCTGTTACTGCACAGTGTGGTGAGGAGGTGGCACTGTGCAGGGTGACAGCAGGATGGTTCCATTCACTGACTGTGGTGGCACCAGCTGCCTTTTGTTGATGGCAGCAGGTACCCCAGCCTCCAGAGCCAGCTACACTTCCCCATCTTATTGCCAAAGGTTTCTGCATCAGACATGCTTTTGCTGTGCTCACTGTGACCAGGCCCTGGGCAGCCCCAGCTACCGGCATTGCTGCCCCATCTGCTGGCCCCATCTTTGCCTCCCATCCCACTGTCAGCAGTGCCAGCTGCCTGGCCTGGCAGCTCCTACTCACAGGGAGGCAGACAGACTGACAGACAGACAGAGCAGCAGCAGGAACCAATCACTCTGAACAGATTTACCAGCTAGAAAGTTCCTTGTGAGAAAACAGAGCCATGAGGAGCACATGGTCCTGAGGAGGAAACAGGCTTATGTCCCTGAGCCCTCCTGCCCTGGAATGGCCTGGGCTAAGCAGATCAGAGCAAAACCCTCCTGGAGCTGGGTAATTCCGCCTCTTTCCGATAAGCCGGTAACGCCATTAATGGAGAGTCTGGCAGGGAAGGAACTGTGCTGGGAAAGCACTGCACCTCCACACACATGGCAGATTAAAAAGGACTTAATCACAGAGCAGCCACAATGCGCACTATCTGACATTACTCCTCTGAAATAAAATTTTATATACCGTCTATCTGAGAGTAGCACAAAATAAATACTTCTAAAATCTATGATTACTGTAGGGTATTTTTTTTTTAATTTTATATTTGTGGCTGAGTTCTGCTCTTGCTCCTAAGGATTAGAGGGATAATTCTATTACAATTTAGTAACAAGATTAAAAGAGCCAGTTATCCATTTATGGGGGTCTATGGAAACAAGCAGTGGCTTCTGGAGGTCTCAGGCTCTGAGTAGGTGTATCACTCACATCACAGACACATCCAAATCAGGTTAAGGCACAGGCAGGACATGCCCGAGGTGAAAAGGTCTCCAGGGCCACCTGTCCTGGCTATATTGGGACAAGTGTTCAGGGGTTCGTAGGGCAAAAGGAC